TCAATTTTTGAGGGTAATATCTTCAACTAAACACGATTTGTAGTCATTTGACGTATCGTTGAAAAAAGTAGGTCAAGTTAGAGCAGAGGAAATAAATGATAGTCACAAAAAAATATCTTCTCAGCTTTGGATCGAAGCTAAAACTTAAAATATAGTAAAGTAATTTTAATATGAATAAAAAATTTCTTCTCGCGAGTGGCGACTACAGTGACGGGATCCTTGATCTTTATTAAAGTTATTGAATCTAAATGAGATAAAAATCAAAGCAGTTGAAAATTTATTCTTAAACTTAAAAAGAATTAAGAAAAAATGTAAAAAATTCATTGCCATACGCGGGTTGGAACCATGTAAAATATAATATCAAGAATTTTTTCACAAAAATATCATATTTTTGCATACGGTAGTCATTTTTACCATGAAGACAAGTCCAGAGGTTAAATTTTTTCTTTTTAAATTAAAGTATATTACATTAGCTTTAATTTAAGGTGTATATATAAGTGTCAGTCTTTCCGGAACATTTTCAAAAGTTAATTTTTTGTAATAAAGTTACTATTTTGAAACCCTTCCTGTGGGCTTGTAAAGGATCAAATGTTCACAAAAATATAAAAAATAATGAATAAATACCTAAGATATCTATAAAAATAATATTATATTGATTCGGTCATTTTTAAAAGAGTTGTGGCAATTTTAAGTTAAAATAATTGAAAAAATGTCGAAAATTAGCGATTTTTAAATTTGAAATTTTTTGGGGGATTTCCCCCGTTTACGGGTAACGAGGGAGTTTTTTTTCAAATTTTGAGGGTTATGTTTTCGACTAGGTACGATTTGTGATCTTTTAACATATTTTTCATCAAAATCGGTCCAGCGAGAGCTGAGATTGAGCTTATACAGACACAAAAAAAAAAAACACATCATAGTAAAATTAATATCATCTCAGCTTCGCATCGAAGCTAAAATGGAGTGAAGAAATCGTGAAAATACATATAATAGCAGATGCGCCGTTTATGCAAAAACACCCTTTCTATGTAAAATGTATAACAAAACCGGATCTCCTGATAAGGGTTAATGTCTAGTTTTTTTTACCTTAGTTCGTGTATATTACCATGCTCTTAATATTATAAATATAAATAATAAACTAGGTTGTTAAATTCAGATAACAGCCATTTTTTTAGGTCAAACTAGTCTATGCAATTCGCATATTTAGGCCGTGCATAAAAAAATGCTCTTAGAGACGGGTCTCCTGAAAAAATAAATGTATTATTCACTAGTATTATAAATAAATATGTTAAATTAATAATCGAACATAAAGAAAAAAAACCCAGCACAGTGGGGATGTGGCATAGTTAGATCAAGTATAATAATATCTGACAGTGATTAAAATCACTATCTTAAAAAGCAATTCAATGCAAATCTGTAGGTAGTGTTAAATTTTAAAAAATTTATTCCAAAAGCTACATGATCTCCTATTTCAGTTGTAAGATAAACTTACAAGGACCCCGATGAGGGTCCACCCTGGACCGAGGCAGAGCCTCCCTGGACCAGGGATTTTGGTACCTTATCCTAGGGGAAAAGGTAATTAATAAAATATGGTTTAGAACAGTTATTAAAATTTTATTAAACATTACAAGCAATTTTATATCTTGTTCATATAATATAATAAAAATATTTAAAAAGAGAATTGTACATCAAAACAAATTAATTAATTAAAAACATAAGTCCCAAATAAAAGGGAAAATATAGGGAACAAAAAAAACACGACTGTAAAATATTGAATAAATTAATAGTGATTAAGTTATGGTCAAGGATATAAGAGGAATTTACAGTATGTTTATAATTAAAAGTTAAGACAATGAATGGTGATTTATACCAATATTACATACAAGTTGTCTATAGACAGTCAGGCATTCAAACAGCCTGTGTTCTTTACAAAGTATAATAATTCATGACTAATAAAGTCTGAATGTAATGATCCATTTTTTTTTATCATATCAGTGTTCTTGATAAGAAAGAACCAGTCACCAGATATAAAACTATATTAACTGGAACAAATTACTTGCTAGAGTATATTAAATTTCAAATGTCATAACCACAATATAATATAACAGAGCAAAAGAGGAAAAACATGAGCATGACAGATCCAACGCATGCGTCAGGGTATAGTGGACATGTCACCAACGTCAATGAGTATCCTCTACATAAATGTAGAGGACTCATTGAGATGTTCACCATGTCCCTCTGACAACACCCGAGGAAACTGTCAGCTCATGAAATAAAGAAAAGAGAGAAAGAAAAAAAAATAGACGGATTGACCATTACTTATAATATAAAATTATAGTTAACCTGTATAGTCAGTAACTAACATGTGTGACCACATAATCAGATCACTAATAAACAAATTACTTAAATAACATGTTAAACAGAGAAAAGAAACAGAAGAAATATACCACATTACAATTAGTTGATGTTGTCCAAGTCCAGGTTATTGATTTGAGGTGTTGCCATAACAATGGCCAAGCCAAAATGAAAATTTATTCTTCTATCTTTGGTTTCTTGACAGGATCGCAGAAAAAAAGACAAATAAAATGGTTGACGCCAACAGGCCAAAAATGTATCCCACGATGAAGAGGAAAAAATGAATGAATGATGATATTTTTTGACATAACCGTGATTTTCCAAACCAGCTCGATAGCACATGGAAAGGGTAGTTGACAGTGTGACCATTCTAATGTGGTATGGACAAGGATCACAGGTGGTAGGGAAAATGATTGTCTAATAACTAATCATGTGTGTATATGCAACACTGACCCTACAGACACACGACGCGCACTATTTGAATATGGTTACCTGTGACCTTATATTCATAATAACTTTATTACGTTACACCTTATTTATATCCTGATTGCAAGTTACATGATTTATAAGTGTAATGTATGAATAAATAAATATCTATATATATTTATAATATATAAATATAAAATGGTATTATTTAAAAAAAAAATATGTCGAATGAAAGAGGGATATAAATATTATTTATTATAAAAAAATTGTATTGATCCATATACTTTTCAATAAGCTATAGTATTATAAAGTTAAAAATATAAAATCGAGAATTTTCAAACAAAAATAGCATTCGGTAACTATTTTCACCGTAAAAACAAAATAAAGTCTAATTTTTTTTTTTCCATGATTAAGTATATTATATAAGCTTTAATTTAGGATATATATAAAAGTGTCAATATTTCCGGAACACTTCCAAAAATTAAATTGAAAAAGTTCGACTTTCTATATGCATTTTTAAGTTTTGAACCCCCCTCCTATATTAAGGGAAATGAACCGTTTAAAAAAAAAGACGTCGAATGAAAGAGGTATATAAATATTATTTCTCATAATAAAAATAGTCATAATAGTAGCTAGCGATGAGGAGGCCATCACGAAAGATTCTACGTTTGTGGAGGACCTGGTGGATCGGAGTCTCGGAACTTACGATGAGGGCGAGGCGCTTTGCATGAAGCGAAAGAAGATGTCGCCTGCAAGTCCGGAGGGAGAGGTTCTAAACACGGACCACTCACCTGCTGCAGTGCTTTTACCGCAGGTGATGCCAAGGATGTCGCCGCAAGCAAAGCGGAGGAGGAAATATGCCGATGAGGACATAGCCGCCCTCGAAGAAGTATTGGCCAAACATGGACAGATTCTTGCGGATATGCGCACTTTTGTCACTACTATCCGCAACGTACATGATCATGAAAAATTGAACCACGCAACTAGGAAATGGTCACACTGAGATAGTAAGCCTTCTGGAACAACTACGAGAAGACGTGTGCGAGTCGGACAGGAGACTTCTTGGTCCGCCGACCTGTGAAAGCGGAGGGACAGGTATTGAGTCTGAGGTGATGGCCACACGGCCGAAGCCGCGTACTACCAATGCATCCGTCCAAACAGGGCCATGGGATTCACGACCAAAAAAGAAGAAGAAGCGGAGGAGACGAGGAGAGCAACGTGAGCTTGATAACCCCCCCTCATTGGTTGCGATACAACAGGGGATTGGGCCCCGTTCAGTTGTAGCATGACGGAGGAAGGTGCGGGAGCGGCCGCTCGCAGCCCCCTCTCCGACGACTAAAGCCAAGCTCGTACCTACGCTTAGGCAAAGGGTAAGGCAAGCTGTTGCCTCAAAAACGGAAGCCGTACTGGTGAAGCTCAAGGGTGATCGGTCCAACGTAGAAGTCGCGAGAAAACTCGTGGCCGGCGTTGACATCCAGGCCCTTGGGCTGACAATTACGGCCTTCAAGAAAACTAGGCAAGGTAACATTGAGCTACGGGTTCCAAAAGGATAATTCGAGATCGTTGAAGTCGCACGGACTGCTTTGGGAAATGCTGCGGTGGTGACCACCATCGGGAAACCTGTGGAGATTACCATATGGGACATCGTACCGGAGACACGATGGAAGATGTCGGCTAGGCATTTCGGCAGGCGCCGTGGGCCGAGAACATAGAGGTAGTCCGGGTGATCTCTGGATTGGGTGGTAGCCTCACAGCTGTTGCTGTTGGGTCTCTGGGGCCTTCGGACTACATTTAGACTGATTCGGACGGGTGCTCGTTGGACTTACGCGCTGCCGAGTGAAAAACAAAATTGGCCTGACTCTCAAGGTCGTTTCGTTTTTAGTGTTTGTATCTGTTTGTTTCTATGTGTTTCGTTTCCCAACCTTAGCAAAATCCTACCCCCACCTCCACGTGGTGCGGCCTTGGCAACGGATCCCACTCTGGGGTCCGGCTAACGGGGAAGGCCACGTCTTGTTGTGACTCAGCTCTTGCTTAACTTCGAATTGAGTCACAACACGATAACTCTGAAACATTTTACTAAAGATTTTATTCCACTAATAGGCAAATTAAAAGGTTTGAAAAATTATGACACAAATTGAATATAAAAATGATATATCACAAAATAAATAATAAAAATTCAAGACATAGATTAATACGCAAAAAAAATTATATTGAATTTTAAACTAAAAAAGGTATATTGTAAAATTTCATGTTATACGGTCAATTAATTCGTATAAAATGAAAAATGTATTTGATTATAATCAAATACATTTTATTATAATTGATATATTAACTATTTTAATAATTGTTAATATAAATATTTTCGCTACAACATTTTTTAGGATGACATAATCCACCATGTGAATGTATTCCTCCCGAAACAGTTGAAGAACTAGATGTTCCACTAGATGGAGTTGATGAACCTGGTGGTGTGGATGATCCAGGTGATCCACTAGATGGAGTTGATGAACCTGGTGGTGTGGATGATCCAGGTGATCCACTAGATGGAGTTGATGAACCTGGTGGTGTAGAGGAGCCTGGTGATTCACTAGATGGAGTTGATGAACCTGGTGGTGTAGAGGAGCCTGGTGATCCACTAGACGGAGTTGATGAACCTGGTGGTGTGGAGGAGCCTGGTGATCCACTAGATGGAGTTGATGAACCTGGTGGTGTAGAGGAGCCTGGTGATCCACTAGATGGAGTTGATGAACCTGGTGGTGTAGAGGAGCCTGGTGATCCACTAGATGGAGTTGATGAACCTGGTGGTGTAGAGGAGCCTGGTGATCCACTAGATGGAGTTGATGAACCTGGTGGTGTAGAGGAGCCTGGTGATCCACTAGATGGAGTTGATGAACCTGGTGGTGTAGAGGAGCCTGGTGATCCACTAGATGGAGTTGATGAACCTGGTGGTGTAGAGGAGCCTGGTGATCCACTAGATGGAGTTGATGAACCTGGTGGTGTAGAGGAGCCTGGTGATCCACTAGATGGAGTTGATGAACCTGGTGGTGTAGAGGAGCCTGGTGATCCACTAGATGGAGTTGATGAACCTGGTGGTGTAGAGGAGCCTGGTGATCCACTAGATGGAGTTGATGAACCTGGTGGTGTAGAGGAGCCTGGTGATCCACTAGATGGAGTTGATGAACCTGGTGGTGTAGAGGAGCCTGGTGATCCACTAGATGGAGTTGATGAACCTGGTGGTGTAGAGGAGCCTGGTGATCCACTAGATGGAGTTGATGAACCTGGTGGTGTAGAGGAGCCTGGTGATCCACTAGATGGAGTTGATGAACCTGGTGGTGTAGAGGAGCCTGGTGATCCACTAGATGGAGTTGATGAACCTGGTGGTGTAGAGGAGCCTGGTGATCCACTAGATGGAGTTGATGAACCTGGTGGTGTAGAGGAGCCTGGTGATCCACTAGATGGAGTTGATGAACCTGGTGGTGTAGAGGAGCCTGGTGATCCACTAGATGGAGTTGATGAACCTGGTGGTGTAGAGGAGCCTGGTGATCCACTAGATGGAGTTGATGAACCTGGTGGTGTAGAGGAGCCTGGTGATCCACTAGATGGAGTTGATGAACCTGGTGGTGTAGAGGAGCCTGGTGATCCACTAGATGGAGTTGATGAACCTGGTGGTGTAGAGGAGCCTGGTGATCCACTAGATGGAGTTGATGAACCTGGTGGTGTAGAGGAGCCTGGTGATCCACTAGATGGAGTTGATGAACCTGGTGGTGTAGAGGAGCCTGGTGATCCACTAGATGGAGTTGATGAACCTGGTGGTGTAGAGGAGCCTGGTGATCCACTAGATGGAGTTGATGAACCTGGTGGTGTAGAGGAGCCTGGTGATCCACTAGATGGAGTTGATGAACCTGGTGGTGTAGAGGAGCCTGGTGATCCACTAGATGGAGTTGATGAACCTGGTGGTGTAGAGGAGCCTGGTGATCCACTAGATGGAGTTGATGAACCTGGTGGTGTAGAGGAGCCTGGTGATCCACTAGATGGAGTTGATGAACCTGGTGGTGTAGAGGAGCCTGGTGATCCACTAGATGGAGTTGATGAACCTGGTGGTGTGGATGATCCCGGTGATCCACTAGATGGGGTTGAAGAACTAGATGGTGTAGATGAACCCGGTGATCCACTAGATGGAGTTGATGAACCTGGTGGTGTAGAGGAGCCTGGTGATCCACTAGACGGAGTTGATTCACTAGATGGTTTTGGTGAACAACCACAATACAATGGTGTTTTATTGTTTTTATTTTGTCTATCATGCATGTGCCTAGCGATAGAAAAATTTATCACTGTGGCAATGATTAAAATTCGGAAATTCTGTAAAAAATTTTAGAGTCTTGTTATTTGAATTATAATTTAAAATTGTTAAAAATATATTAAGTATATAGTATATGTATTAAGGATATAATATATTAGAGATATTTCTATAGCATTTCTTTTTTTGTAAATACAAAATAATATAGCATTTACGTATAATATTAATTACGTATAATTAATATATTTCTCTATTGAGAAAATATAATTTTTTTATACCTTTGAAGACATTGTTGGTCTTATAAAATGTTACAGTAGTGTAGCAAGGGTGGCTATGAACCATAATTTATACCTTAAAAATGAAAAAATGCACAAAAATATTCTATATATGGCTCAATATGTAATCCTAGCTATACTACTGTAAGATGATATTACTTAGTAGCTTTTAATAATATAATTTTAGATAAAATTACCATTGTATTAATTTGTTCTTTTTAAAAGTTTCATAAAAAAAATAATCTTCAATAAAACTTAAACTGTGACACAAATAAAATTTTACTATATGACAATCACATTGATCATTCGTTTATATACAAAACTACTAAGTATTTTACTATCGAAATTTGTTTAATATGCTGAAGTCGTGATAAAAAAAAACTTTTTTTGTCTATTATCAATATTATGTCAAATAATATTGCTTTTAATGACAAATTTATTGTTATAAAATAATATTTCATGGTCAATTAGACGATAAGGATGTTCGTGATGTGGTTAAAACTGTATTTTGATATACTGTTTAAATGTATCATACATTTAATTTTTATATTTTTATAGGTATTAATTTTATAAGTATTATAATTTTTACAATAAATATTAGTTTTGATTTTTATCTAAAAAGTTAATATACATGTTTGACTTGATTTAGTAATCAATGTTCTTTTTATACGTTTGAATTTTTAGAATTAGACACTTATTCAGTGTCATAGGTCTACCTTATGACTATTTTTATCATTGAATATTTTTCAGCCGTGATACTCTGCATTCATCATTATCGTATTTCACCTGTAGCTTAAATACAAAAAAATTGACAATCAAAGTACTGGTCCAAAAATAGCTATCGATCGATCCTTTTTTAATTAGATAATTTTCTGTTTTATTAGTTAGCTAAATTTTTATGTTGCCATAACAAAAATCAAGTTGACACCCATCATAAGGGATGAACAATAAGAAAAAAAATTTTTTTTGAGTAATTGAATGGATTATGATAAGTGGACTATTGTGTATACTAATAATTTAAAGAGTATAACCATCTCAAAATTTTGAGAAATAATTATTCTGATTAACCATTTAATGTACAACTTGTTTTTTGTTGAAATCGAATTTTTTAAGCTTAATTAATGAATAAGAAATTTCTGAAAAACAATGAAAACTTAATTTTTTTACTAAAAATTGTCATAAATATGACAATAAATACATAAAATTTAATTTAAGAAATTTTATACGTATTTTTTAAAATTACATTTATGTATTCATTTTCAATTTTAACTTTATTGTGGTGTGTTAATTTTTTAATTTTGTGTTTGTGTCAATAACATTTTCAATTCTTAATGAATTGACATTTTTAAAAATTTATTATAATTTGACACTTTACTTACTCACTGGGGGAATTAGAAATAGCAACTATTTCATGAAAAGTTAGTAATTTCAATACTCTTAAAAAAGTTCAAAAATACTAGGAAATACTTCATTTTTAAATATATATTTAATTAAATCTTATGCTACGTACTAATAAATTTAGTCCAGATGACTTATCTTTATGTATTTTTAAGTGTTAATATTTTTGAATTCATATTTAATTTTTCAACTTTATATTCATACAATTTTTTTGAAAAATGTATATATCACTATAATCTTTTCTTTTTAGTGGTATATGCATATTATTTTTATCCGTCATACTTTTTTATATTAATTAAAAATATCGTACAAAGGGAAGGTTACAGTGATGGATCACTGATTTTTATAAATGCTATGTGAATAAAATCTAAAATCAAAATCTTAATTTCCGAAAATGTTTCAAAAATTTACTATTCAATTATTGTGTTTATATTTTAGATTAATTAATATAGTCTTATAGGAACGAAGATTTAGTCTTTCCCATATAATACTTATAAATCATAAAACTTGTAATCAGGATATGAATAAAGAAATATTTATAATATTATATTCATGTTGCTTTTGGAATAATTCAATAATTCCTTTTAAAAATTAAACATTATCTATCGATTTGCATCGTAGCGTTTTTTATGGTAGTAATTTTAATCACTGTCGAAATCATCTATACTAGTTCCAACTATTTTCATATTAAAAATAATGCTGAATAAACTATTTAAATATATTTTTGTATTTGTTCTAAATGTGCAACAGGCGTATTGTAGGGTCAGATCTAATAATTTTAATCTATAATAGACGTTTTCTTATGACTTACATGTGAAAATGAAATTTTAATGTAATATTTATTACTCTAATAAAGAGTTATAAAAATGTGCGTATTTCAATTGTTGATGAATAATTCATTATTATGTTAAATTATATTATTTTAATTTTACAGTTGAGGTGTATATTCATACCTAACTATATTTAGTTTTACATTGTTCAATCTGTTAAAATTAACTTAACTAAAACTTAGCATATAATTTTATTATTGAAGAAACCTGTTGTTTTACGAAGTCATGGAAGGGGGTGATATTTTTATACAAGATTTTATTAACGATCTACAAGATTCTCCTGAAAGTCAAGTACAGAAATGTTTTCGTGGATCCAATATATTAATAACAGGTGGGACAGGATTCGTTGGAAAAGTATTAATTGAGAAGTTATTAAGGTTAATGAATTTATATACAATTAAATTAAATTTGTTATATTTACTTTAATATCTCAAGATATAAAAAATTTTTTTGTTTTTTTTAGAACATGTCATGAATTAAACATGATTTATATCATTGTAAGGACTTTAAATGAACAAAATCCGCATGATAGAGTTAAAATGATGTTCAACAGTCCGGTAATTATTTTTAATGGTGTTTTTCGGTGGTGAATATAGACTTAAAAGTTTTAAAGGTTGTAAACGTATTTAATAATATGGGGTAATTTCTAACCTAATCTATCACATTGCTATTACATGTTGAAGTGTCGTCAAATGGCTCAATTTTAATTTGACAAAATTTTACATTTTTGTATCGCCTCCACATTGTTTAAAAATTTAGCAAATTTTAAGGTTCTACAATAATTACAGAATAATAAAATGTTAATAATAAATAGTAAATGATTAATAAATTATACGTTATTGATAATTTTTGAAATTAAATAAAATGAATAGTATTTTTCAAATTAATTAACTTTTTTTTTGTTTATTAACATATATAACAAAATATTTGTTAAATACCCAATTCGGAGACACCCAAAATTTGTATGAATCTCAGTTGTAATATACTTCTACTTTAATAATAACAACTAATCTACATATGACAAAGATAATGGTATTGTTGCATTTAAATATGGAACAATCTTTTTGTTCTAAACTTATAGTTATAGTAGTTCAATAATAACGCAAAATGTAGTTAATAAAGATATAATCAATCAAAATAAAACATATAAAATATTGATACACTTAAAACCGGATAAATAAATAATACACAAAATAAAAACTTAAAGTCACAAACGTACCACACGGAAAGAGATTACCTTTGGTACTCCCGAGGTCTTCTCTCTCTCCTCTCTTCAATTCATTCCATTTCATCTTATATATACTAACATTTTTGTTTTTCTTTTTATAAAATTCATATAGTAATCATTTTCAAAAAACCCAGCACAGGGGGGTCGCGGCACAGTTATGACGTGGTATAGTTGGATCACGTATAATGATATCTGACAGTGATTAAAATCACTATCAAAAATAAACGCTTCGATGCAAATCTTTAGATAGTGTTTAATTTAAAAAAAATTGGTGTTTTATTCCAAAAGCTACTTGATCTGCTGGTTCCTTATTAATATCTCGATAAAGATAAAGTATGTCAAATGAAAAAGGGTTTATTAAAAAATATTATTTCTCATAAAAAAATTGTGTGGATCCATAAACTTTTCAATAAGTTATAGCATTATAAAGTTAAATATTATATAAATAATAAAATCGAGAATTTTCACACGAAAATAGCATTCGGTAGCCATTTTCGCCGTGAAGACAAGTCCAGAGGTCAAATTTTTTTTTTTCAAATTAAAGTACATTACATTAGCTTTAATTTAAGATATATATAAAAGTGTCAGACCTTCCGGAACATTTTCAAAAGTTAAGTTGAAAAAGTTAATTTTTTGTGAAAAAGTTGTCATTTTAAATCCCCCCCTGTGGGCAGAAAAAAAGTCAAATTTACAAAAAAAATATACCAAATAATAGGTAATGACATCAAGCATCTATATAAAAAAATTATATTGATATGTTCATTTTTGAAAAAGTTACATCAGTTTTTAGTAAAAAAAATTGAAAAAATTTCGAAAATTAGCGATTTTTAAATTTGTAATTTTTTTGGAGGTTTCCCCCATTTACGGGGAACGAGGGAAATTTTTTCAATTTTTAAGGGTAATGTCTTCGACTAGATACGATTTGTGATCTTTTGACGTATCGTTGAAAGAAATCCGTTTGGTGAGAGCTGAGAAAAAGTGGTAACAGACACAAAAAAAAAAAAAAAACACATCATAGTAAAACCAATACCTTCTCAGCTTCGCATCGAAGCTAAAATGTTTATAAATATTTACTTCCTGATAGTAACAATAATTCGGGAATTACAATTAATCTAAACATTACAAAAGTGTTCTACTTCTAGGTTTACAAATAATAGACTATATTATATTTTTGTAATAATAGATCAAGAAATTCATAGTTAAACCAAACATTACAAAAATGCTTTGTTTTCAGTTTTACAAAATAATGACCTATATTACAGTATGAATTAGTTAAAATTTATTCGATAATAAATTCAAATAATGTTTTAAGCTTTTTGATCGTATGAAAATAGAAAATCCCGGATACGCAAATCAGGTTCAAGTTATTAGTGGAGAAATTTTGCGTAAAAACTTGGGAATAACTGAAATTGATTATATAAAATTGAAATATAAAGTTAATATTATAATCCATTTGGCTGGTATTACTACTCATAACAATTGTAATCTGCGATCAGCCATTTTCACAAATATAAGGGCCACAAACGATCTCGTGTCTTTGGCAAAAGGATTTACTGACCTCAAGGTAAACATTTAGTTCTAAAATATATATTTTAGAACTATATTATATAACTTATCCATTTTTATGATTCTACTGCATAATGTTCAGGCTTTTATTCATATTTCATCAGTATTCGCACATCATGCTTTAGTTAACATCCACGAACAGTTCTACAGCTTTCCTATACCAATAAATACTATGATACAAATGGCCGAGACTATCCCTGATCATATAATGAATGGTTTAGCAAAAGAGTAAATGATATACAAATAATTTTAATTTATTTTAAAAGTTATTTGTTAAATAATAAATAATTTAGGTTAGTGTCCGAGTGGCCTGACGTTGTTACTTATACTAAAGCTGCGTCTGAAAAAATAATTCAATCGGCTGGTCGAGATTTTCCAGCTTGCATCATACGACCAGGATTTGGTAAGCAATTCTATTTTAATCAAATATTTTCTGTATTATAATTTGCTGCAACATATAAAATTCAACAGGTATATACATATACATACAACAAGTATATAATTAATATGTTGATACATTTTTTTTACTATTTGAAGCATATTTTAATAAGTATTTGTGCATTATTTTTGGTATAACCCTTGTACTTATCACATTCAACTAAAACTAATTTTTGGTTATAGTTTTGGGGACTGCAAATGAGCCAATAGCGGGTTGGACGAATCATACAAACAATTTGATTGTTTACACATTGGGATCAGGATTAGGATTGGTTCGCACTTTTCACGGATCACTTGTTAACGCTAATATTATACCCGTTGATATGCTAGTAAATCTTATTTTGGTAGCTTGCTGGGATATGATTGGAAGCAAATCGTTAGTTAAAAGAAAATATTTTGATTTTGTATAAACTGTTAGTGTTAGAAAAGTTTTAATTTTAGGCCAAAAGTATCTAAAGTCACTCTAAATATATTTACAAGTGTTAATTTTTTGAGATATTGTTCACCAATTTTTTATACGATATACATTAGTTATAAAGTATAAAAAGTATAATAAAGCATAATTAAAAATATTAGTATTGAAATTCTAATTATTTTGGAAGTTTTTTGTAATGTAATGTTTATTATAATTAAGTTTTTTTGTAAATATTTTACAGTGTAAATGTATATATAATACTGCTATGGTAAATTAATTTACATTATTTCCTTTAAAAAAAAAATATATATATATTTTTTTAATATTAATAATTGTCATATATTTTTTATTAAAAATCTAGATTAGATTTTATCAATGAAGAACTACCCTGTGACATAACGGAAACGCCAATTTATAATTTTGTATTGTCAAACCATAAATGTTGTTCGTGGAAGCAGTTAGGAGAATATTTTTTCATGAGTGAAAAGAGAGTATCTTCTTTTAATAGTGTAAATATTTTTTTAAACAAAATAGTTATTCGAAATTATTAAGAATATTTCTATTTAAGTATTTTAGAATTCCATTTTGTTACATTGCTGAAACTATGGGGCTTTATCGAACTGTTTCATTTATTTTTCACACTTTACCTGCAAAAGTGGTAGATATTTACTTTACTATGTCTGGCAAAGAGCCTAGGCGTGTAAAAGTTCAACTATATTCTGATAAAAATTATACTTAGAGTAAAATAATTATTTTATTTGTATAGATTAAGTAAATTCTACGAAGGAGTGCACAAGTCGGCTGAACATTTAAATTTGTATCAACAAATGCGGATAAGATGTTATAATCACAATGTTTATCGATTAATGAACAAATTGTCACCTAGAGATAGAGCTCTATTCTGCTTCGATATCAGTACATTATCGTGGAACGATTATTTTGATAAGTACGTTAAAGGTCTACGTGTGTATTTGATGGGTAATCGTTTGCAAATGGCTACTTCGACAAACACAATTAATAGGTATGTATTACAAGTTTTTTAATGATTGTATTTATTATTGTAATTAATTTTTTTTATCGTTCAAATAAATATTAAATCAAAAAGATTTTTTAAATAAACTATACGTTCACTTGCTAACAATTTAAAATACCTTTACCTTATTTTATTTTACTAAAAAAATTTACTATGCCATCGTTAAACAATTAATAAATTCTAAAATTTTGTATGACAAATTAACCATTTGTTGTACCTTAGATGTATTATGTATATATATATATATATATGCATAGATTAAAATTGTATTTGTATAATACTAATAAAGTTAAAAAGTCCAGAATTATGATTAAAAACTATCCTATGATTATTTTGGGTTTTATTTTTAGCTAATATGCAAAGCTAAGAAGGTATTAATTTTACTATGATATGTTTTTTTTTTATGTCTGTGACCGATTTTAATGAACAATACGTTAAAAGATCACAATCATTTCTAGTCGAAGACATTACCCTCAAAAATTGAAAAATTTTCCCTCGTATCTCGTAAATTCTCAATTTATATTGCTATNGGATTTATCTTCATGGACAAAAGGGATATCAAAGTTAAAGAAAAACGCATGATTTCCATGAATAAATTCTCAATTTATATTGCTATAACTTTTACAAAAATGTATGGATCAATATTATTATTTTTTTATAAATAATTTTTATATACCCCTATCATCTGACAGGCTTTTTTTGTAAATCGGATCATATCCCTTTATACAAGGGGGGGTCAAAACTTTAAACATGCGTATTGAAACTAGGATATTTTCAATTTAATTTTTAGTGTTCCAGAAATACTTACACTTTTATATGGATCTTAAATTAAAGCTTATATAATATACTTTAATTTGAAAAAAAAATTTGACCTTTGGATTTGTCTTCATGGTCAAAATGACTACCGTATTAAAAAATATGCTATTTTTTTGTTAAAATTATGGGTTTTTTATTTTATTTTTTTTTTAAATACATGACAAGGGGAGTACAGATTTTCATAAATATTATATAAATAAAAAATTGATATAGCATAGAAAGTTAAACTTATTTAATTTTTTTTGCTTTATGAAGTCGAGAAAAATAACTTTGAAATTTGAACTAGATTAAAATGCCAATTTTTTCAGTCGACAGTAGCGACGTACGGTTGCCGAGTCGGTTAAACTTGTGTTATACGCGCTTGGGGTACAAGGTTCCAACCCGCGTATGGCATTAAATATTTTCTTAATTCTTTTTAAGTTAGAATAAATTTTCATCTGCTTTGATTTTTATCTCATTTAGATTCAATAACTTCAATAAATATCAAGGATCCCATAATTTTAGTCCCACCTTGTAAGAAGAAATTTCTTATTCGTATTAAAATTATTTTACTATATTTTAAGTTTTAGCTTCGATGCAAAGCTGAGAAGATATTTTTTTGTGACTATCATTTATTTTCTCTGCTCTAACTTGACCTACTTTTTTCAACGATACGTCAAATGACTACAATTCGTATCTAGTTGAAGATATTACCCTCAAAAATTGAAAAAAAATTCTAATTTATCAATGAAACAGTTACTTATCCCATATTCTCCATACAGACAATTAAAATCATTCATTTCTAATGTTTTCAAAATATTTATTGACGAATCAAGTTTGATATGATAGGTTTCAAATACAAAATTAAATCATTTTACTTTGAATTTAATAATATTTTTACTCTATTTGTGTATGCTACTACCAGTCTATAGTATTCCGAATTTTTTTGTAACATGTTGCTATATAAATCATAAATTAAAAAAAAAAATGATTTTTAGTTTCACCTGAATTTAACGAAAGATTTTTACAATTATAATCAAATTTTATAATACGCTGAATTGAGTAAATCTTTTTAACAACTTTGTTTTTATTGGTTCATTTAGTTAAAATAAATCATTAAAATTAATTCAGTTCTGCATATTTCAATTGTAGAATCTTTTTACGCACGATATTAATCTTAACAATACTATTTTTTAATTCTCATGATATTTTCTGTTTAATGATGCCGATTTCAAACTTGCAAATTGAGCTAAAAATTATGGTAATAAATTAATTTTTAGCTTCGATGCGAAGCTGAGAAGGTATTGGTTTTACTATGATGTGTTTTTTTGTGACTGTTATCACTTTTTCTCAGCTCTCACCGAACGGATTTCTTTCAACGATACGTCAAAAGATCACAAATCGTATCTAGTCGAAGACATTATCCTCAAAAATTGAAAAAATTTATTGAAAATTGTATGGATCAACACAATTTTTTTATGAGAAATAATATTTATAATAATCCCTTTTACATTCAGGATATTAATAAGGAACTAGCAAATCATGTAGCTTTTGGAATAATACACCAATTTTTTAAAATTAAACACTACCTAAAGATTTGCATCGAAGCGTTTTTTTTTTTATAGTAATTTTAATCACTGTCAGATATCATTATACTTGATCCAACTATCACGTCACCACTGTGCCGTGACCCCCCTATGCTGGGTTTTTTTTTTTTAAACTTTCACAAAAATCAACTTTAAACAATTAAAAAAATAGGTTAAAAATGTCATTTTCCTTATTTTTAACATATTAATAATCAAAATCAGGATTAATTTAAAACAATTTGTTTTGTTCTTAATTATTTTTTTATATGTTAATACTTATTTTTTAATAATAAGTAATAATATTAAATCTTAGAAGTGACAGAAAAAGTCTAATTGTATATTTAAAACATCGTGAAAAGTTGATTTAGAAAAGTATATTTTAGTTTCTGATGAAAGTTCCTTATAGTCCAATGTATAAAACTTATAACTTTGTTATGAATAACAAAATTTTTTTATAAAGATATGTCATTAATCTTCATAGAGATGACGATATTTTATATTGTAATATTGTATTTAATTATTGTATATGATAAAATTATTTTGAATATTGTATTTTGAAGCTTTATCAAGTTAAATTTTTTTTTTTCGTTTCAGGTTAATAACACTTCACTACAATTTTATTATATTTATATTTTTTATAACTTTATTGTATTTGACTGTATTTTTTTAACAATACATTTTACTTAAATATTATTACTTTTTTATTAATATACTTCATGGTTTATATTTAAAAATATAATTATTCGATCATACCTGTTTTTGGTTTAGATGCGAAGATGAGAAGGTTTTACAATGTTTTTTTTGTGTCTGCCCATAAAAGTTCTCAGATCTTACTAGACCGATTTTGTTGGTCTACTTGTCAAAAGAACTCGAATTTAATATATTTTAACTTATCAATGCTGAAAATTGAAAAAAGTGCCCTCTTTTTTATAATTTAAAAAAATATTTCAAAATCATTCTACCGTAAAAAATGTAATTTTCAAAAATCAATTTTGTGCATTTTAAAAATGGTGTAACTATTTATTTTTAAACAATAATCAAATGAAATTTAAATTTAATGAAGCAAAGAACTTTTCTTTTTTTTGGTATGATTTATATGAAAGGCTTGAAAGAGACAACCCACATACAAACATTTATTTTTTCATGTCAATGTTTGAAAATAATCTATAATGTCTATGATTTCAAATCTATATTAAATTATAATTTCGTAAGAATACTTCAAGATGAAAAAAAAGAAAAATGACCCCATGTAATTATAAGGTCTGTGGCGGTCGAATATTCTAGAATGTCCGGCCGCCGCCGCCTCTAGAAGATTCGTCGCTCTACATAAGCGTGTGGCGGTCGAATGTCTAGAGAGTTCCGACGCCGCCTCTAGAAGATTCCTCTGACTATTTAAGGGCAAGATCGTCGCTCCAGTCAGTCAGTCGATCAGTCAATCACTTACGCATTCTGTCTTACACGCGCTTCGTTTCTCGCTGTTATTTATTAGTTCGTTGTAATACAGTTCGTCTCTCGCTGTTATTTGTTATTTGTTAGTTCGTTGTAATATAGTATAGTTGTTATTAAATCGTAAAAGTGTTTATTACTTCTATATATTACACCTCGCTACATTGGTGACCTCGACGATAACAAGTATGAACGCCGAAGAACTACGCAATCAATTGGAGGAGTTACGCCAAGAAAACGCTCGCCTTGCAGCACTACAGGCACAGCAATATCCAACAGCTTCAGTGAATCGCGTTGCCGTCAAGTTGCCACCTTTCTGGTCCGAAAGACCGAGCTTATGGTTCTCACAGGTTGACTCGCAGTTTGCAATCTCGGGAATAACAAGTGAGGAAACAAAATTTAATTATGTTGTGGCTCAGCTTGATACGCGTTACGCCGCCGAAGTAGAGGATATTATTACTAACCCACCGCCTACTGAACGCTACAAACATCTACGCGCAAAACTCGTTGAACGGTTGTCTATCTCAGAAGAACAACGTGTGCGGCAACTCATCAATGAAGAAGAACTAGGTGACCGTAAGCCATCACAGTTCTTACGACATCTCCGTTCCCTTGCCGGCACTACTACATTACAAGACAATATTTTACGTCAACTTTGGCTCCGCCGTCTACCATCACATGCACAAGCTATTTTAACCGCACAATCAGAGCTTCCTCTGGATAAGGTAGCCGAGCTGGCTGACAAAATTGTTGAAGTGCAGCCAGCCCCCTCGCAATTCGTCCATGCTGTTGCCACGACGAACAATAAAAAGGAACTCGATGTTTTAGCCGCCATTGAAGCACTCGCAAAACAGGTAAGCGAATTATGTGCTAAACGCCCGCAACGTTCCCGCTCTAGGTCACGTAACCGTTCAAACGTGGAACTGACTAACGGCAAAGGATGGTGTTGGTATCATAGCACTTATGGAGAAAAGGCTGCCAAATGTAAGGCTCCCTGCAAGTATCAGGAAAACTCCAACGACAGTCAGTAGCGGCGGCAACAGACTGTCCGAACCCGAGCAGCCGCCTGTTTGTTACAGATCAAATAACAAAACGCCAATTTTTAGTCGACTCCGGTTCCGACTTATCTTGTTACCCTCAACGGCTACTACGGGAACGACGCCATGCCACCGATTACGACCTCAGCGCGGCCAACAACAGTACCATAAAAACTTACGGGACGGTCCATCTCAATTTGAATTTAGGACTTCGACGCAGTTTCCCGTGGAGTTTTATTGTCGCCGACGTGAGTACTCCTATCATTGGTTCCGACTTCATGGCATACTACCACTTGCTGCCGGATTGCCGTACCAAACGTCTTATTGATGGTGTCACAGGCTTGGCTGTGAATGGTAAGGTTTCCTCTGTAAATCAATGCAGCATAAAATCAGTTGCCAACACTTCCCCTTGGGCTGCACTTCTCGCAGAATTTCCGGACATCACACGTCCCACCGGATTGCCCAGGACAATAAAACATCAAACAGTGCACCACATTCTTACGACACCTGGTCAGCCAATAGCCTGCCGCCCACGCCGCTTAGCTCCAGGTAGACTAAAAATCGCCAAACAGGAATTCGCGGAAATGGTCAAGGCAGGTACCGCTAGACCTTCAAGCAGTCCGTGGTCTTCACCATTACATTTAGCACCGAAAGGGGAGAACAGCTGGCGTCCTTGCGGTGATTACCGCGCGCTGAACGCCCGAACTATACCAGACTCCTATCCAGTCAGACACATACATGATTTCTCGCACAACCTGGCTAATTGCACGCTATTTTCCACAATCGATCTGGTAAAGGCTTACCATCAAATACCTGTTAATCCGGACGATATATGCAAAACAGCCATTACCACTCCATTCGGACTTTACGAATTTCCTTTTATGACATTCGGATTGCGAAATGCTGGACAAACTTTTCAACGCTTCATAGACGAAGTTACCAATGGGTTGGACTTCTGTTATGCATATATTGATGACATTTTGGTATTCTCTAAATCGGAAGAGGACCACAAACAGCATTTACGCACTCTTTTCGGGAGACTTTCTGACTACGGTGTTGTCGTTAACCCGCAAAAATGTGTATTAGGTTCGGCTGAGGTGAAATTTCTAGGTTACCTAGTATCTTCTGAAGGCACCCGCCCGCCACCGGAACGCGTCGAAGCCCTACGACAGTATCCATTGCCAAAATCTATGCAAGGATTACGCCGGTTTTTGGGAATGGTAAATTTTTATCGCCGGTTTATTCCCAAAGCTGCCGACCTGCAAGCACCACTTCACGGTATTCTCAAAGGCCCGAAGACAAAAGGTTCCCAACCGATAGAATGGACTCCCGAGTTAGAAAAAGCGTTCACCACATGCAAAGAAAGTCTTGCGACCGCTACTCTTTTAGCACATCCTCATCCAGCCGCACGACTTGGACTATTCACAGACGCATCTAGCCAATCTATCGGCGCATGTCTGCAGCAGCGAGTCAATAACATCTGGCAACCCATAGCATTTTTTTCAAAGAAAATGTCGGTGAAACAAAGTGCGTGGCCTGCGTATTATCGTGAGTTGCTTGCCATCTATGAATCGGTGAAGTATTTCAGGCACATTGTCGAAGCACAACCATGTACCATTTTCACCGATCATAAGCCACTCGTATATGCTTTCACCCAACGGAGAGAAAAGATACCTCCTACGCAACTCAACCAGTTGACATTCATATCCGAATTCACCACCGACATTCAACACATTAAAGGTGATGAAAATATCGTCGCGGATACAATGTCACGCATTGAAGTTGTGTCTCTCCCGCTGGACTACCGAGCTCTTGCTGCATCTCAAGACACGGATGATGAACTCAAACATTTTACTGACAACAATTCATCTCTTCATTTGGAGAAGGTACTAGTGCCAGGATCTTCAGCCTATATTTATTGCGACACGTCAACGGGACGCCCACGACCATTTTTGCCACAACGATTCCGGCGTCACGCATTTGATCAGTTACACAACCTTAGTCACCCCGGTGCACGCGCAACAGCTCACTTAGTTTCAGAACGATTTGTGTGGCCAGCAATGAAAAAGGATTGCCGTTCCTGGGCACGTGCCTGCGTCCACTGTCAGCGATCGAAAATAAGCCGACACGTCTCAGCCCCACTGGGAAACTTTGAAACACCTTCACGCCGATTCAAACATGTTCATGTCGATATCATCGGTCCATTGCCGCCATCACAGTCCTTTAGGTACTGTCTGACGGTAATCGACCGTTTCACCCGTTGGCCGGAGGTGTATCCACTCGAACGTATAACAGCAGATGATGTCACTAAGGGTTTCCTCAATTGCTGGATTTCACGCTTCGGAGTACCTCAATACGTTACGACTGACCGTGGTACTCAGTTTGTTTCAGCTACTTTAAAAACTTTAGCAAAACGTTTTGGTTTTACGCTTCGCCCCACTACCAGTTGGCATCCTGCTGCAAACGGATTCGTCGAACGAATGCACCGACAACTAAAGGCAGCCATCATGGCCCACGCAAAAGACTCGTGGACTGAGTCACTGCCTATCGTGCTTCTCGGAATACGTTCTGCGTTTAAGGAAGACTTAAAAGCCACGTCTGCGGAACTTGTTTATGGTGAGCCTCTTAATCTTCCTGGTGATTTCTTCACAGACAAGCAAGATAATAGCAGTACGAACGATCCTACTAGCTTACTAGATCGTCTTCGCAGTGTTATGAATAAAATTCGTC